TTTAAAAAAAGGAAAAGAGAAAGCTGAGGGATGAGACATGTTGACTAGTTTATTATACGGCCCGGCAGAGTATGGAGACTAAGAGAGAAGAGGAACAGGGGTAATGGCTGACCGCCATGGACATGTGCCCTAGAGGCAGAGAGAGAGCATAGGTGAGAGAGAGCCAAGAAGAAACAGAGAAGGAGAGTAGAGAGGACTTTATAATATTCTTACAATATGGATTTTCAAATGGAAGGGATTTTCCTTGCCAGATGTTGTCTAGCATTATCTTGACACTTTGTTGTTGTTTTAACTGGGAGCAGGGGGACAGGGGAAAAAGGGTATACAGTACTGCTCCTTCCTAGTACATAGAGAACAGAAAGTGACTAACATCCTGCAGTGGACACATTAGCCACCTCACCATGAGGAGTTCCCTTGCCCAGTTACCATGTACCAGTATTGTAGCTGCTGAGAGACTGCTAGAGTTTGATTTTGGAGGCAGTTCTGTCTGTCCTTTATAATCAGTCTCACAGGAGAGAAGAACTGAGTGTTTTCAAAACTTCATTCTCATGGATGAAAGATGGTTCTCATTTTTTCCCACTTAGCCCACTGAGAGATGGGTAAAATTTCCCTTTCCTCAAATCTGGACTTGCCCTGATTTAGAGAAATAAGCTAGTAGGCCAGGCATACTAGCTTATAGTGTTAGTTTCAGCACTTGGGAGGCAAAGGCAGGCAAAGTTCTGTGAGTTCTAGGCCAACTTAGTCTATATAACATGTTTGGGACCAGCCAGGGCTATGCAGTGAAAATCTTGTTTGGGAGGGAGGGAAGAAGGAAGGAAGGAAGGAAGGTTGGGGATGTTAAGTGGTAGAGCACTTGCCTGCCTGCCTTGTGCAAGACTTTGAGTTCAAACCCCCAGTGCTGAAGAGGAAATGAAAAGAATAAATATGGCATTAAATTATAGTTGAATGTAATGGAATACATGCTTTTGCCAACTCTTAGGTGGATGGTGTCTGGATATAAAGTCAGTGCTTTGGAATTTCAATATCTTGTGTTCATTTAAAAATTAACTTCATGGTGTATTTTTATTAAATGAAAGCTTTTAATATATAATGAAGTCATTATATTTGAAAAAGGACTTGAAAGTAAGCTTGAACTAAATTTCTTTACAATTTCCAGATTTTGGAAACATTTGCCAGTCCCTTGATTCAGAGAAATGTTTTGATGAAAAGAGACATCCCCAATCTAACAAAATACCAAGTAATTCTGGCAAGAGACCAATTTAGGAAGAACCCGTCACCAAATATTGTGGTACGTATTTTCAAATAAATTTCGGTGACTGATTAAAAGTTTATTGAGTGCCTTGTAAAATGTAAATGATAAATTCTTAGGTATGTATTAATTAGTTCAAGAAGAATTTACATACTATTTATTGTAGGTGTGGTGGTTCACATTTGTAATTCTTGTATTTTGGAAGCTGAGGTGGTAACTGATGCCCATGATTTCATCCTTGGGGAAGTTGAGGCAGGAAGATTGCTGGGTTGCTCAGAGTTCTAAGATAAGGCTACGGGTGGTGAGCTCTGTCTCAAATAAACAAAATAGGTTAGTGGAAGGAAGACAGGAGAAAAGGGTATGGGAGAGAGGGAAGGAGGAAATTATGCCCTAATCAAATACAGGAAAGTAAGTCTCGTTGAGCTTTTAAAGCACCTACAGATGTCTCTGTTTGTTTCTGTATAATGACTGTAGCCATACCTGTCTCTGTGGTGCTAAGATTAAATTAGTTGTACAGGAATAGACTTAGAGCACTGCCTAATATCCAGTGTGACCATGATGACATGTTTACTTGGCATTGCATACTGATTGAATGTGTGTCCTATCTGGGTGGCACATATCTACAATCCCAGCACTTGTTAGATCAAGGCAGGAGGATTGCTTTGAGTTTGAAGCCAGACTGGGCTATATACTGAGTTCCAGGCCAGCTTGAGGCCACATAGCAAGAGCCTTGGATACACTCAAATACAGAGAGGGGCTGGGGGGGATTAGCATGAGGCTAAGTCTATTCAGTTGTTTTCCATTCCCATCATACCTCATATATTTGCCTCGGTGCTTGACCTATGATAGATAATTATAAACAGCTTTGAAAGAACACATGAACCAATATATTGCAAGTAATTTACCTATGAAGAAAAATGATAGATACTGGTTTCCTGTTGATTTTATTTTTTTAAGGGACAGGCTTTATAAGGAAACTACAGGATACTTCCATAGCCCCACCCTGTAACATGACCCCCTGTAGAACCATCAAGTTATAACTATTGTAGAGGGTTGGTTATTCTGGTCATTTGAACCATATTGTGTTACAGTAACAATTGGCACGGAGGGTGTATCTTCCCTTTCTTCTCTGGTTAAATTTGACGTGTGTGTCTTCCAGGGAATTCAGCAAGGCATAATTGAAGGAGAGTTTGCCATCTGCATTAGTTTATATCATGGATATGAGTTATTGCAGCAAATGGGGATGCGATCCTTGTATTTCTTCCTTTCTGGAATCATGGACGGAACTAAAGGTAAGTTACATGAAATTATTTTAAAGAACAATGAAATGTGTTATTCTGGTTCAGGGCATTGAGCAGTTGGAGCCAAACTTCAGTTAACTTTTTTTCAATTAAAAATAAATTTTTTTCATGCAATATATTCTGGTCACTGTTTCCTCTCCTTCATCTTCTCAGCAGTCTTTCCCAGTGATCCAACTCTACTCATTCTTTCTCTCTCTCTTTAGAAAAAAACAGGCGCCAGGCGTTGGTGGCATACGCCTTCCCAGTGATCCAACTCTACTCATTCTTTCTCTCTCTCTTTAGAAAAAAAACAGGCGCCAGGCGTTGGTGGCATACGCCTTTTAATCTCAGCAGTCGGGAGGCAGAGGCAGGCTGATCTCTGTGAGTTCGAGGCCAGTCTGGTCTACAAGAGCTAGTTCCAGGACAGCCTCCAAAGCCACAGAGAAACCCTGTCTCGAAAAACCAAAAAAAAGAAGAAAAAAAAAAAAAAAAAAAACAGGCCAAAAAAAAAAGAATAAAAATTAAATGAAAAAAAAAGCACAAAACAAAGAGTATGAGAAACACATATACACACAAAAACAAAACCAATAAGTACAAAATCAGAAGCTATAAACTCAAAAAAAGACCAGTAAGGCAAAAAAATACCCATATAATACAATTTGAGACACAAATCTCCAAAAAATACCTTTGAGTTTCGTGATGGTGTCAGTGGGCATGGGGCCTTAGAAGTACGGTTTGTATACCCAGTGAGACGCGATTGGAGAAAGCTAATTTTTCCTTTGGAAGCTGTTGTCACTTGGAGACAGCTTCTAGGCTAGGGATGGGAGCGTGTGTCCACTTCCCCCTCAGTGCTGTTTGAGTTCATATGTGTCAATCCTGTTGGGTCCAGAAGGCTTTGTTTTCCTTGGTATCCTCCATCCTCTCTGGCTCTTACACTCCTCGGCCTCGACTTCTGCATAGCTCCCTATCCTGAGGGGAGGAGTTTGAGACGACATTGGTAGTATTGAAGCATCTGTACTGGCCTGTCCTGAGGGTTCTGACAGGATACACCCTCAGCTGCAGCCACTAAGAGCACCACCTGTGCACATTTTAAAAGGGCCCTGCCTACCTCCCATTTTTCTCTGTTTCTCTTTTTCTCTGTTACTCTCCTGTCTCTGTCTCCCCCACCACCCTTTTCTCTCTTTACCCCTTTCCTGCCACTCCTGTCGGAAGAGGCCAGTGTCCCCGCTCCCCTCCACCCTTTTCCCATTCACTTTCCCCCAATTAAAAAAAACCCTCCACCCAAGCTCTGTCTCTTGAGCGCCACTTTTAAAAATTACAACGGATGTCTCATTTAGGACTGGCTATTCCAAGGTCTTTCATTCTCCTCACATTGTACAGATGTGGGTTTCTGTGTTAGTTCCCATCTACTACTACAAAGCCTCTATGAAGGTTCAGCAATGCCCTGACTTACGGTATGCACTGTGTCCTTCGGAGTCATTTCATTACTGTGTAACTTGAGTTAACCTTAAATATTTTGTCTTTAAAAGCAGTGGGCTAATGTAATGAAGTTCATATTTCATTGTTTTTGATAGCTTGCTAGAAAATAATGCATTGTAAATGTGGAACTAGGCTATGCAGTAGTGATACACTCCTTTAATCCCAGCACTCAGGAGGCAGAGACGAGGGAATCTTTGAGTTTGAGGCTAACCTGGTCCAGGATAGTCAGGGCTATACCCTGTCTCAAAGAAACAGGCAAAAATGTCAGACTAGAACATATGATTGACTTTCCTGTTAAAATCTGATAATTTGCCTTCATAGTTAAAGTTTAATTTCTTTTTAATAAGCAGTAAGTGTCAACAGCTTTGCTCTTGATTATTTGTGAAACCTTTTCATACTTTGTGAAGGAATGACACGGGCAAGGAATGAGCTTGGCCGAAATGAGGACTTCATGAAGCTCTACAATCACCTGGAAAGCGTGTTTGCTCATGTGCGAGATCCTTCAGCCATTGATGCTTCAGCTTTCAAGAAAGGTGTGAATTCCCTGAGAAGTTTGTGTCTGTTTAACCAAATACAGTGAGTGGTAGTGCTTGCAAGGTAGGATCCCATCAACCCAAGACTTTAGGCCAGCCTCAGCAGCATGGCAAGACCCCTTCAGAAAAAAGTAAAAAAACCGTTTATGGTTTTTCTTGATTAAAGTTAATGTTGAAACTTCTCTAGGTTCACATCTGTCTATACTTTTTTCTCCTGGTATAACAGTAGGCCTGCCTGTTAAATGCATTTTCTTCAGTAAGTTAGGATATTAAGGTTGATGAATACAAATTTGTATAAGGCTAATAAACTTTAAGTAGTAGTAACTGGTAGTAAAAATTGTCAGAACTTCTCAACATTGAAGTATGGTTTAACTACAGGTATTTTTCCCTTTTACTTTGCTGAGACCATTTGAATTCTCAGAATGAAATTTTCTTGAAAATTAAGGTTTTTGTTTACACTTACATGCTATTGAGAGGATACTTACATTTGACAGTTAAAAAAATAAGATTTTAGTGTTTGGGGCCTTTTTTGAGACAGGGTCTCATGTAACTCAGACTAGCCTTGAGCACTTTCTGTAACTGAGGCTGGCCTTGAAGACCTAATTCTTCATCCTCTACCGCCCAAGTGCTAAGTTTACAACTGTGTACTACTGCATCTGGTGGAAAAATTTAAGTTTTTTTGTTTTGTTTTGTTTTGTTTTTGTTTTTCGAGACAGGGTTTCTCTGTATAGGCTTGGTTGTCCTTGAACTCACTCTGTAGACTAGGCTGGCCTTGAACTCAGAGATCTGCCTGCTGAGTGTGGGATTAAAAGCATGCCATGTTTTTTTTTTTTTCTTTGTTGTAGATTTATTTTTATTACTTTTAAGAGTGTGGTTGTGTTCGTGTGCTCTCACTCACTTGTGGAGGCCAGAGATGTAAGATCCCTCTGGAGCTGGAGTTACAGGCAATTGAGTCACCTATTGTGGGTGCTGGGAACTACACTCAGGCCTGCAAAAGAGCAGTTATGCTCTTAACTACTGAGACAACTCTCCAGCCCCAACATGTTTTTTAAAAAGATATTATTCCACAGTAAGATAATTACTGTGGGCTGAGCCCGGTGGCACAGATGTTTAATCACAACCCTCTGGAGACAGAGGCAGGCAGATCTCTGTGAGTTCAAGATCATAATTGATATGGGAAAATATAGAGAAAAATAATGTTTGTTTGTTTTCTCCCCTTTTCAGGAAATAAAGAGAAAAATTTTTTCTATAGTCATCCAAAGTTAAAGAAACTGGAAGAAGTCATAATTGAACACTTCAGGTCATGGAATGGTAGGTAACAATTAGGCAAAGTAGTTACTAAAGAAAACCTAAAACCCGAGGGAGACGGTGGATTCCAATTACTCTGGATAAACATATTTAGAATTTCCGAGAAAGTTTGGATGGTCAAGAGCAAAAGAAATGATGGGATTTAAAAAATAAGGTTTTACATGAAAAGTTTAGTTTTGGGGGCAATATAACAGCTTAAGTAGGTTTAGTAACTGCTGTGGTCTGGGTCACTGGGAGACACAGGAGAGCAAGTGGCACAGTCAGGAAAGCGTTGCCCTTACCAATTCCTTCCACTCCCCAAGCACCGAGACACTGGGCAGTGCCAGAATGAACATAGGCTGCCTCATGTGGTAATCGTTGGCAGAGGTTGAAGGGCTAGCAGGTTTGGAGCTCGCTGGTCCCATTAGACAGAGCATGTAGTGAAGATGGGGAGGGTTGCAGTCAGCTGGAGCTCCCCAGTGCTTCCGTCTGCAGAGTGTGTAAAGGGAGGCGACATGCATGTGGTTGAATTGATGGACTGGTCAGGTATTGACCCAGATACTGACCACTATTTTATGATATCTAATGAGAGACAGGGAGTCCAAAGTGTCTTTCTGAAGTGGTTACTCATGAGTATGCAGCTTCAGGCTTGTGCTTGCTAGCAGTTCCTCTCTAAATGCTGTTTGGTTTTCTTTGGATGTGGTCCTGGGCATTGAACACAAGGCCTATCTACTACTGGTGTATTTTCTTAGCCTTAAATACTTTTTTAAAAACATAAAGTATTTCTTGTTCCACAGCTAAAAACACCACTGGAAAGAAATGCCTTGAGACCAGAGTAATGATCTTCTCCTCATTCCGAGATAGTGTGGAAGAAATTGCAGAAATGCTTTTACAGCATCAGCCCGTTATTCGAGTGATGACATTTGTTGGCCATGCTTCAGGGAAGAATACAAAGGGTTTTACCCAGAAGGAACAACTAGAGGTAATTATTATTGATTTTGTAGGTAATGAAATAAAAATAGAATGAATTAGCTGTGTTATAACCCATCTTCTAATTGCTTACTTAAAGATAATTTTATAAGCAGGCCATGGTAGTGCATGCCTTTAATTCCAACCCTCAGGAGGCAAAGACAGGCATTCTCTGAGTTCAGGGCTAACCTGGTTTACATAGAATGTTCCAGGTCAGCCAGAGCTACATACATAGCAAGATTGTCTCAAAAACAAAACAAAATAACCCCCCCCAAGAAAAACCCCCAAACTCCAGCAACAGCAAAAAGGATAATTTTATAATTAATATGCAAGTAAAGATAAGTATGTTTTGAAAGATCAGATCATATGTTTATATAGTTTTGAAGCATTTGTTTATACAACCATGTAATTATTTTTGGTGTTTTGAGATAGGAGTTATATATAGGTCTTCAACTGCTGATGTTCCAATCTCTACTTCCCAAATGCTAGGATTTCAGATATATCCGTTCCACCTGGCTAATGTTTAATGAGTCTATTCTTGTATCTCTAGCATGTGGCCATGTGTGTCCCTGGGTAGGGTTCTAGGAGTAATGAAACATTATTTTAACTTTTTACAAAGTTTTTTTAGTGTACAGAGTGGGGAGGGGTTATGTATATAGAGGCCAAACGTGCATGTCAGATCGTTTGGACAAGTTGAGGATGTCAGTTCTCTCCATCTACCATCCCAGAGACCACACTCAGGCTCTGTGGCTTGCTGGCAAGTGTTCTTACATGCTGAGCCATCTTTCAGGCCTGAGACATTCTTTCTGATTTGCTTATTTGTTGAGAGATAGGGTATTAACTTTGTAGCCCTAGCTGGCCTGCAGCTCAAGGATCCTGCATGCTGGGAATAAAGGTGAGCATCACCATGCCAGCACTGAACATTTTTAGTTTAGATACACCTGACCATGTGTTTAGTTCTAAAATATGATAAATGGAAATAATTGCCTCAGGATTTTTACCTGCCTACCTCTCCTTTCAGTGATGCTAAAAGTAAAACCTGGGCTTCCTCATAAAATAAGAAACATAAAGTTGTTAACAGGTTCACTTGGCATCATAGTCATTATTAAAACAAAGGAATTACGACTGTTCTTTTCATTTTTATCAGTGCTGTTTTGACTTATTTTGTCATTTTACGACCCCCCCCCCTTCCGTGTCCTTAATGCTTTGAAATCTGATTTCACTTTTTTAAGGTGAGTAAGAAGACCTGCAAGATCTGTGATTCTGTGGTTGATGTTTGAATTGTTTGTGTTTGAGGTGGTGAGACAGTTCCGTGACGGCGGGTATAACACGCTGGTTTCTACCTGTGTTGGTGAAGAAGGTTTGGATATAGGAGAAGTCGATCTTATAATATGCTTTGATGCCCAGAAGAGCCCAATTCGCCTCATACAGCGCATGGGCAGAACTGGCCGTCGACGGCAAGGCAGGATTGTTGTTATCCTCTCGGAGGGACGGGAAGAGCGTGTAAGTTGATTGTGGAATCGTAACAACTCAAAGACAACTTTGGCAGACTTTTAGCATTCAAAATCCAAACCCTCCGGGTAAATGCGGCTTATATTTCCCCATTTTTTATTAGATTCGTAATGTTTTTGTCTGATTATAAGAGTTTTTGGTAAAATTCACTTATTCAAGAAATACATTTTACATCAACGTAACTCAAAGGCACCTTTCATTTCAACAACTAATATACATTACTTGATTTTACTGTTTCGATATACTTTTTTTTTTTTTTTTTGAGATAGGGTTTCTCTGCATAATAACCCTGGTTGTCCTGGAACTTGCTCTGTAGACCAGGCTGGCCTCAAATTCACAGAGATCCATCTTTCTCTGCCCCCTGAGTGCTGGGATTGAAGGTGTGCACCACCACATTAGGACAAATTCAGGGAGCAAATACACAGTTTCACATCACAGAGTCTCTCATCATCTATGGTAGCTTTTAGAAATTGATTTAAAATGTTTTATTTACCCTTCAATTCAACCTGAAAACTCAATTTCCTGCAGTAGGACTGCCCATGTGATAATAATGTGTGTGATACCCATGAAGAGATCCTAATGAATGTAAAGTTTGTGTGCCAAGTAAAAGCGGGTCCACACTCTGACTTTATCACCTAACCAAGCCACCTGGTGTCTTTATTTAGTTGTGCGTTTTCTTATCTGTGAAATAGTAGTAATGACTCCCACTTAATGAGCACTGTGCATTGTTTCAAGTGTGCTGGAGTCGTTGTATTATTTTATTGTCTATTCTGGTCCATGCCTGTGAGCAGAGTGGCCTTTTTGTTGTTGGAGGCAATGAAGAAAGTGGAAATAGACAGATGACCAAGCTGAAATAAAGGTGTCATTTCCTCTCCTGTAAATCCTCTGCCTTGCACTAAGTATAGCTGTATACTTCTACAGACGCTAGCCATCAGAAGCAGTAAGCCAATAAAAATAAACAGGCCCAGGAAATTCTCACAGACATGTATGTATATTTCCTTTCTGCAAATAGTTGTTAAGCTTATATAACAGTAGATTTTATAATGGTTCTCCTGATCTGTTTTCCCACTCAAGACCACAGGAACCCTGTTCTCTACTACTTAAGTGAATCAGAGTTTAATTTTGTGTTTAAAGTGATCTCGAACATAGTAATTGCTATTATAGCTAAACGGTTATTATAAAATCAGTGAAATTTTATATTGTGTGTTTGTTTTGCAGACATACAACCAGAGCCAGTCCAACAAAAGAAATATTTATAAAGCTATTTCAGGTAACAGGCAAGTGCTTCATTTTTACCAAGGAAGTCCACGAATGGTTCCTGAGAAAATCAATCCTGAATTACACAAGATGTTCATCACACATGGAGTCTATGAACCAGAGAAGTCTCGGAGTGTGCAGAGGAAGTCACTGTCCTCAAGGCGTGGTAAATAAAGCTTTTGCACTTGACACATTCTTTACCCTCCTCCCTGTTCTTAGTATGCCCTATTTTTGTTTTACACTCTGGGTCTTTCCTTCCCATTTGTACAATGTCAGGATTCCTGGAGCACAGGCTCCAGCAGCTCAGGCTCCTTTCTGTTACTTCTCACAAAGTGTGTCTCTAGATGAACAGGCTGTCTCCTCAGTTGAACCCAGGTGCCCTCCCTGCAGCTTTGTTTCTGTCCTGCTCCTCCTTTTCCTTCGTCTGTTCCAGGAAGCATCTTGATTCTTACCCTGTTTACCATGCTCATTGGACATGGACACTCTTGGCCTTAACATGCTTGTTTGCAACAATGCCAACAGCATGCTGAGTTAGTAGACGCTCCCAGTTTTGTCATGGCAAAGATTATAAAGCATTCCTTATTGAATTGTTTTCTAAAAGGCTTGGAACTGGAAGATGTTGGCTTCACCTGAAAGGAACAGCATTCCCTATCTTTCTTTTTTTTTTTTTTCCTTTAGAGAGAGACAGGGTTTCTCTGTGTAGCCCTGGCTATCCTAGAACTCGCTCTGGAGACCAGGCTGGCCTCAAACTCAGAGATCCTCCTGTCTCTGCCTCCCGAGTGCTGGGATTAAGGGCGGGCACCATACTACCTGGCATATTACCTGTCTTGATACAGTATTTCTTCTTTGAAAAACTCAGTGTATGTTCTAAGATGTTTTCAGTATTCTCTTAGGAAAGATAAGAGATTGCTGATGTGACAAGGGGAAGACACTAGTGGTAAGAAGTGACAGAAACCCAGTAGGGAAACTGAGGCAGATCTTACCAAGCCAGAATACGCATTATGTTAGAGTGACATGTGCGTTTTACACAGTCGGCCGGTATAACAGAGGGAGAAGGAAGTTTTCTCCTCTAGATGTTCACCCAGGCAGGGACAGCCCTGCCATGCACATTCCCAGGATTAATGGTAACTTGCCACCATATAGGAGGACACCGCCATCAGCTACACAGCCTTTCATTATTCATCTCAGTGTACTATATTTAGATGCCAGCCTGGACTACATAGCAAGTTCTAGGTCACATTTGAGACTGTCTCAAAAATCAAAGCAAAACAAAATTGACATATTTGCTAGTGTCCATTTTTCTATCCCCCATTCTGATTTTTCTAGTGTCTTTGATTCAAATTATGTGACTGTGTTTTATAGTTTCTCATAAACCATCATACATGTGCACTAGAATATAATTCATCGAGGTATAGAGGCCTGAACTTCTTTTAAGTAACTGAGCCACTGGAGTTTCTTCCTGTTTAAAAACTGGGAGAGGGGACCTGGAGAGATGGCTCAGTGCTTCAGAGTACTGGCTGCTCTTCCAGGGGATCCACATGGTGACTCACAACTGTCTGTAATTCCCTGTCCCAAGGAAATCTGATGCCCTCCTTTGGCACATAGACATGCATGTAGGCAAAAAACACCCATACACATAAAATAAAAAGAAATAAAACTTAAAGTAAGCCAGAGACCCCCTAAGATTATTTATTTAGCTCAAGCTCTTAATTTTTTTTCAAAGTCAAGAGTTGGTTTTGTTTATTTAAAAGTAAAACATAATTGTTATGATTAAATAATAAGCATTAAGTACAATAATTTAAAGTACTAAATTAATAAAAAAATTCTGCATGTAATGATATAGAATAATACATGAAACAGTGGGTTCAGTAAGGCAATATCCCTGTGTATTTAACTTATTCAGTTAAGAAATATTACTCTTTGTAACAAATTACATTGCTTGATAGAATTCTGGCAATAGCCCTAATTCTCACCAAAAATATAATAACAACATATGTTAACTGGTTTGATCAGAAATTACTTCTCTTATAGAAATATATACTTAACATATGTTTTGCTTGTAAATTATGTATCCTTTTTTGGTAGAGGGAAGATTGTATGACATCAGGGTCTTACATTGCCCTGGGCTGGCTTCAAATCCCTTATGTTGTAGATGGCCTTGAATCTTTGATCTTTGTACCTCTTCATCCCAAAATCTGGGATAACAGGCGTGCAGTCAAGCTCTTAATTTTACAGCTGGGAAAACGTGTCAGAAAACTTGCTTTTATATAACTTTCTACACAGTACTGAGGAATAGTGCAGACCAAAGTTTCTGAGTTCCTAGTTTAGTCACCCTTTGAGTTTTTTTCTGTCTGAGTTGGGCCGGAATTCTGCTTCACACTCTCTATTCCCCTTGCCCTTTTCTCCTCCCATCTGTCCCTTCTTTTTTTTTTTTTTTGTTAAGATTTTATTTATTTATTATGTATACAACATTCTGCTTCCATGTATATCTGCACACCAGAAGGGGGAACCAGATCTCATAACAGATGGTTGTGAGCCACCATGTGGTTGCTGGGAATTGAACTCAGGACCTCTGGAGGAGCAGTCAGTGCTTTTAATCTCTGAGCCATCTCTCCAGCCCCCCCATCTGTCCCCTTCTTAAAACTTAAACCCAAAACGCTGTTGGTTCTCCCTCCCCTGAAGCTTCAGCTAAGCATTTTAACACTGCTATGCTGGTGCTAGTTTTCATTTGTAAGTTAATCTAACTCATTTGCACAACAGATTTTACATAAGAGTGTCCAAAAGAAGCTAGGGCTGGGTCTCGTTTAGACCTAGCTCTGTCCTACTAATGATGACACCCTGGCTAAGGCTCGCTCTTAGGCTAAAACGACCAAGAGGCGAGCGAGAGAAGCTTAGACAAAAATAGAATGGAAAAGTCAGGCACGGTGCTTTGACGTGACCCGTTCTAGTTTTCAGAAACAGTCTTGGTTTGGCAGAACCAGAAGTTATTTTTACACAGAGTTCAGTCAGTATTGTGTATTTTGTGTTTGTCTTGCAGATTACTTTAAACCTCTTTTCAGCTATTGTTTTGACTTCTAGGAATGAAAGCTACTAATTCAAATAAAGATGGGCTCTTATCAAGAGAGGAGTTTAACCTATGGAACAAACTCTATAGGTTAGGAGACAGTGACATGGTGAAAGGAGTGGCGTTGCCTGAGTCTCACTTCCCCTCTTTACAGGAGGACAGAGTGGTGAGTTGACGGTGTGCAGTGGTTGTGCAGTGGGTATGGCAGCAGTGACAGGCTTGTGGGTGGAACGTCAGTTCACGTAAAGTAATGATTAGTTTCAAACCGTCAGGCACTGCTAGCATTTCTCTCGCTTGCTTTCGTGTGTTTTATGTAGGTTGTACTTTGATTTCGTGTGACTTGGTCATCGTCATCCTGAAGTACAGCACAGGTTGCATCACTCTTTACCTGTTGCATCTGAGGATTCTGAATCTTACTAGCATATGTTATGTTGTCTTTTGTGCCTTTGTGCACCCTGGTCTTATTTGTTTGTAATTTTAGTCAAGACTTTAAGTTGGATGCTCTTGCCTGCATGGGCAGACCTGGTGAGTTTAGTTACAGTGGAGAACTGACTCAGGTTGTACGTACTGGGAGCTGGAAGATGCTCCGGGATTGTGTCCTCATATGGCTATGTCATGTTGTAATCCCTAGCAGGGAGAATGACAAATGGCAGTGGGCAGGTAGAGTTGTGATCAGTTTATCAGAGACATTATGGGTGTCACTTCATTATATTGTGGGACCTGTGTGCAGCAAAGTAATGATTTCAAAATCAAGCATAACTTTCTCAAATATTTGCTCCTAACATGTTTTACAGAAACAGGAATATGCTAAATCATAACTCAAAAGACGGTTAATTTTAAATGTATTTAAAAGACCATCTTTATACTTTATAAAATTACCTTCCTTTTTTCCCCTTAAGAATTTTAGTTGAAAGTGCCTGTGTGGATTTATTTAACTGATTTATGCTAAACTTGTTATTTGCAACTGAGCATGTTTCTAAAATTGGCTTGTGAAATCGAATTTGTTTTTTTTTTTTTTTTTTTTTGAAATCCTAATTAAGACTAAAGAACCAACTACTGGAATTCGTCAACTCTCACTCTCCGAATGGAGTGTGTGGCAAGATCACCCGCTTCCTACACATCAAGTTGACCACTCAGATCGTTGCCGCCATTTTATAGGCGTTATACAAATGATAGAAGGAATGAGACATGAAGAGGTAGACTTCCCGTTCAGCTTTCTCTCCATTTCCCTCTTCCCTCTTGTTCCCTCCTCCCCCTTCTTTTCTCTTTCCCTCCCCTCTCATCCTCTCTCTGTCCTTTTTTGGAGGCAGGATCGTTTATGTAGCTTCAACTCCAGACTAACTGCTTCAGTCTTCTGAGCCCTGAGGTTCCAGGCATGTGCTGCCCATAATCCTCCTGGCTCTGTGGCTAGGGCTTTCTCTTGCTAGTATGCCAATGAGACTAGAAAACTAGAATCCATAACATTGATTTCCTCATTTCTTCTTCCTCCTCTTCCTACTCAGAAGTGTGGAGAGGTGGGTGGTCTCGTTTATGAGCAGCCGAGGAATTAGGACTGAAGAAGCAATTCCTACAGAGGAATAGGGAATGAGACCACAGCTTTGACTGATGACAAAACAGTAAGACAGATTCACCACAAAAGTTCCTGGTTGGGAATTTTTAAAAAGGTCTTGGTTGAGAATTTTGCTTGAAAATAGAATTATACCCAAAGCTGTAGCCTACCATTGTTTTAGGGGCCTGGAAAAGTGTTTTTGCTAGGTAGGGGTATATGCCTATAACCCCAGTACCTACAAGGCCAGACCCAGTCTCAAAAAGCAAAACAAGCAAACAAGGTTTGCTATTGAGAATTTAAGTTTACTATGTGTATGTATTTTTAGGAAATTGAATTTTTAAGTAAACATTAGGTTGAAATTGGTCTTTGTAGGAAGAGCCGTCACAGTGGTTCTGTGTCTTGAATACTGAGATTAAAATATTAACCAATGATTTCATAGTGATGTCATTTAGTTTTTTTTCTTGATTTCTTAGAATTTGGAGGATATAAAAAACTCAATTAAATGACATTGTTTTTGAGAATTTTGTTTTGTTTTGTTTTTTGAGACAGGGTTTCTCTGTAGCTTTGGAGGCTGTCCTGGAACTCACTCAGTAGACCAGGCTGGCCTTGAACTCAGAGCTCCACCTGTCTCTGCCTCCTGAATGTGGGGATTAAAGGTGCATGCCATCACTGCCTGGCTAGAAAAATATTGTAATATAGGTTGAAACTCATTTCTTATAATTGGCTCATTTTGTTTTTCTGTGACTTTTTCCTGTTTCTTATTTTTTTTAGGATGAATGCAGCTATGAACTGAAAATTAAGCCTTTTCTACACATGGAAGATGTCAGGTCAACATTTAATACTCCTAGGAATGCAGATAATAATCTAGCCAGTGTCACCAGTGTTCCTCACAAGATATCTTCCTTTAGACCGAGTGTAGATGAAGGCAGTTCCTTCTCGGTGATAGTATCTGATGAAGTGTGTGCTGAGACTGTTAGACAAACTCCTCCCAAATGTACTGAGATTACTTCTCTGAGGGAAAAAGCTTCTAGAGCAATGGGGAAAGACCCGACTAGTGAAGAAAGTGATGACGATGCAGCTTCTTCAGACACCGGCAGGCGTTCTCCTGCAGAGGCTGTTTCCTGGGTAGACCCACTGAAGGGCGAGAGGGGGGCAGGTGCAGGTGGCATCACCGCTCTGCCTACTGATAGTGACGATGATAGCCACCCAGGACCATTACTAATGGAGCGTCAGGCTGCAGATAAATCTAACTCATTTGCTCGGTATTCCTTAGATTCTGGTTATAGCAGTTTCAGTGATGAGAAATCTATTTTGTCACGTTTGTTTCTTCCATTGGAAGAAGAGCTGCACCCAGATGAAGCAGCCAAGCAGTTTCATGACTGTCACCTAGTGACAGAAGAGGTACGCGCTAATGTGGAGAGATTTTTGTCCTATTCTCCCCCGTCTCTCAGTGGACTCTCAGATGTGGAGTATGAAGTCACTCAGGGTTTTGAACTTGACAATATGTCCTGCTCACCCAGCTCAGAGGGTGAACACAGTCATAAACCTGCTTCTCTGATGTCACACTCGGCTGTGAATTCTCAACAAAATGTAGAGATGAGTTCAGTTAAGCATATTAATCATCCTTCTGAAAAACATTGTCTCTTTGACACAGTTGATAACAAGATTTCTGATCAGCCCTCCTGTGGCTCTGATAATAAAGCCCATAATGGCATTAAAAATGAAAATTTAATATCTAACAGTTATGCTCAAATCCAAGCAAACCTCGAAAACGATTTGGCTGACAAAAATAGCCATGATGATGGTAATAATGACCCCTCAGTATTCACCAATGAGGGTGAGAGCTTACTGTTGTTTGAAGATAGTATGGAAGAGTTAAATGGTGTGAGCCTTTCTCCCTCCACCAGTAATAGTCGGCCCCCGTGTGTGTCAGATAAAACTCTTACAAGTGAAATGGTTCCAGTCTCTCACTTCTTAATTTCTGATGAGCTCTTGTTAGAAGATGATTCTGAAACCGAAGATCAAATCCTCTGTGATACCAAGAGTTGGAAATCTCATGAAAATCTGAAAGATGGACATGAGGAACCGAAGAGTGAGGGACATACCTTTGATTTCTCTAGGGATTTGTTTTCCGTTACCTTCGACTTGGGATTTTGTAGTGCAAGTTCTGATGATGAAATCACAGGACAAGGCTCAGGTAGGAGTAGCACTTGGGGAGCAGCCCGTCTCCCTGGATGGCATTCTGATAACAAGGAGATAGAAGGTGCCAGTGATGCTGCAGATCCGCCAGGGGGAGCCATATCCCCAATCCCCACAGGAAACGGGCAGTGTTGGCACTCTGCAGAGAATAAAGAACCTGCGTCTCCCCACTTTGCCCCATGCTTGCCAGTAAAGGAGAGAGTTATGAGTACGCCACTTTGTAAAGCAAACATGTTGAGCCTGAGTTTTAAGACAGGAGCAGGCATGCTTAAGACACCAGATTCTACCAAGAAGAAAGACAATGTACAGAGTTTCTTGAATCCAAGATTTGACGATTTAGTAGAAGAGCCCAAAAGCAGTGATCAGATCTTTCTGCATCTGTCCCCTCAATGCACTAAAGGTAAGAGTCCATCTCTATGAGATCTATGAATTTCTGGAAAACAGTCCAGAAGTTATAGGCATACATATATATATATACACTTGTATATATAATTAGATAATTATGTGTAAGCTGACAATCACTAGTGGGAGACTTGAATCTGTATGCACTGGAATGCTTCGTGCTCTTTACTGTCAAATGTACAAAGAAGTGTAAAATTTGGCACAATTAATCCAATCAGTGACATAAGACATTTGAAAAATGCCAGTAAAAAATGTAGCAATAACTACCAAATGAGTAATAAGATGGTGGCTGTCAGCTGGGCAGTGGTGGTGCATGCCTTTAGTCCCAGCACTTGGGAGGCAGAGGCAGGTGGATCTCTGTGAGTTCAAGGCCAGCCTAGTCTACAAAGCTATACAGAGAAACCTTGTCTCAGAGGGAAGAAAAAAAAAAAAAAAGACAGTGGTTGTCTAAAAAGTTTAGAAGGCAGTGAAAAGATGTTGAGTTAGATTAGATTGGAAAGTATTCATGGGTATTGTCAACTTTCAGTTTGACTCCTCAGGAATATAATTTAGATGTAGAAAATAATAAAGAATTGGGGTATTAAGAACAATGAAACAAAGAAAATTATAAGCTTTTGTGGGGGGAGAATTTGAAGTGTTAATTTAATCTATTTAGAAGGCTAATATCAGACCACAAGAGCAAGGGAAATGCCTGGATTCTATGGTCTAATGTTACAGAAAAACTAGAAATATGAGGATAAGTATTAGGTATTAAATAACTTAAGCCAGTTGTGGTGGTGCATGCCTTTCGTCATAGCTCTCTGGAAGCGGAGGCAGATGATTTCTGAGTTTGAGAATGGCCTGGTCTACATAATGATTTATAGGTCAGCCAGGGCTATATACTGAGACCCTCTCTCCAGATAAAAACAAAACAAATTGACTTAAGATGAGTGTGGTGATGTGTACTCAACAGTCCCATTGTCATCCAGGAGACTGAGGTGGGAGAGTTGTGAGTTTGAGACCAGCCTGGGCTTCATAGCTGGTGAGATCCTGTGATTTAGTGTCCTTTAATCCCGGTGGGACTTTCAACTCTAATTGACTTATAGACTACTGTCTTATTGGGTTGTTTATGGTTTTCCCCCTATGAGTACAAAATCAAAAGCAGGTGTAAAATGAAAGGAATTTCCTCTAAATCTTGTTTTTATGTTATTCAAGGTAAGAACATGTTTGAAGGACTGAAGTAAGTTCTAGAAATCTGTTTGATTTTCTTTGTTCTGTTTTAGGAACAGTGTCTTACTATGTAGCTCAGTGTAGTATTAAATTTGAGTTCCTCCTGATTGCAGGCGTATACTGCCATACCAGTTAAATAGCATTTAATTTTTAAAACAGCTTAGGGAAGGCTCTGATACATTTCCTCACTAGTTATACTGTCGCTCTGAGCCTTAAGTTCTTTAATAACATCTTTATTGCTTCTCATTGATGGTTGCAATCATTTTTCCAGTTTTGTGTCAGATCTAAATTAAAACTTCTCCTTGCCTTGTACTTAACTATTATGTGCAATATGATGAGCAGCATGTGGATAAAAGAATTAATAAGGGAATCTGTAGCTAGTACTTTTTGCTTCTCCTAATTAAAAGAGGATTTAGCATTATTTACCATACTGTGTGTTTTGTTTGGTGGTGGTGGTGGGAACCCTTAAAACTCCACTGAGGCAGTTAAAGAGGATGCTTTCTGAAATTATTATTGCCCTAGCTAAACAATTTATCTAACTCTGGCTTCATTAAAACATAATGAAAGTGCCAGGATGGTGGCTCACACTTTTAATCCCAGCACTCGGGAGGCAGAGGCACATGGATCTCTGTGAGTTCAAGGCCAGCCTGGTCTACAGAGTGAGTTCTAGGACAGCCAGGGCTATTACACAGAAAAACCCTGTCTTTAAAAAAAAACAAACAAAAAACCAAGATAACAGAAGAAAAGACAATGGGAATATGCAGTGTTGAGTGTCTCACTCCATTTTAGTAGGTATTAGAGTCAGAATTCCCTTAGAGCTGAAAGCTCTTCTGAAGCATGGGGACACTGCTTCCAATAGGATTAGGAGGTGCTGACCATGAGTGCACAGGCATCATTCGCCCATGCCTATCTCACCAGTGAAAGGTCCTGGATTAGGTCTCAGGGCCTGTGACTGTTCTTCATGTTTCCCAATTCTGTCTCATTGTATGTCAACCCTGTAAGGTTTGTGAGCCCGATTCCTCTTGATACAATCTTGGGGATCTGGGACTAGGGATTTAGTTCAATGATAGTCTGTGTAACTGGGCTATAGGTTCGTCCCCAGCACTGCAAACTGAGCATACACACATAGCAAATTGAGCATACACACATAGCATATATACATAGCAAACTGAGCATTCAAAGGCCTCAGTCATTACTGTCAACTTTCCAGCTGACCTTTGCAGATCATGTCTGCTGGACTTGGGATCAGAGAGCCTGAAAGAATGGGGCAGACTGCAGTCTAATGCTGCAGACAGCCTTACTTCAGTTACAGTGTACTTTTATACATGAGTGACACAAAGACAACAATGATCCAAGGACAGTTGGTTTTTGTTTGTTTGTTTGTTTGGTTTGGTTTGGTTTTTCGAGACAGGGTTTCTCTGTGGCTTTGGAGGCACTGTCCTGGAACTAGCTCTTGTAGACCAGGCTGGCCTCGAACTCACAGACATCCACCTGCCTCTGCCTCCCAAGTGCTGGGATTAAAGGCGTGCACCACCAACGCCCGGCTAAGGACAGTTGTTTGAGTTCAGAAAAACAGCATGAAAACATGTAAATAAATGTCAGTAAGCATGGACTAAATATTAACAGAACAGCCCATCCCCAGAACTTTCTCAGGACAAACCAATTTAAAGACAATTACCTGTCATGTAAAATACATTAATTATATCTGTCTGGGAAAGCACAAAACCAAGGCAAAAGGCCATATCCAGATTCAGGGTGCACTGACCAGATTCTGACATCCAAGAATAAACATGTCTTATAAATTGAATGTAAATGTTTGTCACAGGAGGCATGAACTCAACATCCAAGAACAATCAATCAGTGAACAAAATGGACCTGAGGTAAAAGGCCCTCTGCCATTTTTCCTTGAAGCCTCTCTCACAGTTCCTCAAGGCATCGGTCACGGTGCATCATTCTTTTGTCTGTATTCAGACCTGTGACTAGGTGCATTTCTTGTAATAAAACCATGAGAAATCTTAAGAAATGTTCAGAAACGGATTTCTAGTGGAACTTGGAGGTCACTCCATCACTCACTTTCCCTGCCCATGGATCTTTTGAAAAAAAAAAAAAAAGCCCTTCTCTACTTTGGCATTCTGCTGAGACACCAGAAGATAATTCTGTAAACCCCATAGCAGGCTTGCTGTCTGCCAGGGCCTTTGAGGGCCATCCGTTAAAAACAGAAGGTGCCTTTTGTCTGCCTGCTAGGTTCTGTGTGATGTGCCACTTCTGGCCTTCCTGAGGTCTTCCCCAAACATTTGCTGTCACACTTTCAGCTTCATGTTTTCCTGTCTGACCTCTGCATTTGGTAGTTGAATGTAGGATTTCTTAATTTTAGTTTTTTTTTTTTTTTTTGTTTTGTTTTGTTTTTTTTTCTAGAGAGGTTGGGAATTTTTAAAACCATTAAGTTTCAACTGCTTTGTGTTTAAAAGGGGTATGTCTCTACTTTGTTTTGCTGTCACAGCAAGAATCAGCTGCTGACACTTTACACATCTTGTGTGTGAGTTCTTAGCTGTCTTGAGGACATTTCCTAGTTTGATTGATTGATTGACTGATTGATTGATTATGTATACAGTATTCTCTCTGCAGGCCAGAAGAGGGCACCAGACTATATTACAGATGGTTGGGAGCCACCATGTGGTTGCTGGGAATTGAACTCAGGACCTCTGGAAGAACGGGCGTGCTCTTAACCCCTGAGCCAACTTTCCAGCCCCCCTACTTTGATTTTTACCATGTTAAACTTTCTTGACATGATTTCTAAGGGATTCTTTCCTCTTACTTCCAGGATGATTTCTGTTCAGCTCTCACCAATAACCTCCCATAAGGCGATCAGTCTTCTCTATAAACAATTCCTAAGCCTTTGAAAAACCACAGAAGTTCCCAGTTTCTACTCACAGTCTAGTTCCAAAGCTACTTCATTAGTGTAGGTTTTGTAATGGTGGCTCTTCTTTCTAGAATTCAAGATACATGGTGATAAATGTGCTGTGTAATGACCTAGTCCCAAACCCTAATGGCTTAGAATATAACGTTATTTGAGTGAGTCAGGAATCCAAGTGTGGCCAGGTGGGCCTGGCTCAGGGTATTGAGGTTACTTTCAAGACTTTGGCCAGGGCTTTATTTTAGTTATTTGAAATCATGACTAGGATTGGAGGATTTGCTTTTCATATGTTCATGCATGTGTGCACAAATGTGCAGATTTGTACTCTGGTGCATGTGCATGAAGCCAGAGGACAATGTCATGTGTCTTCCTCTGTCACTCGACACTTTAGTTTTTGAGACAAGTGCTCACTCAACTGTTTGAGCTAGGCTGGCTGGTTCTCAGGGTCTGCTTTCCTCCTTTCTAGTGTTGGGATTACATGTACACAGGACCATGCTTGGCTTTGTGCTTGGTGCTGGGAATCCAAACTCAGGTCCTCAAGCCTGAGCCCATCTCCCCAGCCCCTGGAAGAGGTGTGTGCGGTCTTTCTTCCTTCCTTCTTTCCTACTTTCCTTCCTTCCTTCCTTTGTGGTGTGTGCGGTCTTTCTTCCTTCCTTCTTTCCTACTTTCCTTCCTTCCTTTGTGCGTCCTTCCTTTCTTTCTTTTCTTTCTTTCTTTCTTTCTTTCTTTCTTTCTTTCTTTCTTTCTTTCTTTCTTATGTGCATTGTTTTTGTCTGTGTGAGGGTGTCAGGTTCCCAGGAACTGGAGTTGCAGACAGTTGTGAGCTGCCATGTTTGTGCTGGGAATTGAACCTGGGTCCTCTGGAAGAGCAGCCAGTGCTCTTAACCACTGAGCCATCTCCCTGCCCCCTGGAAGATGTGCTTCCTTAAGCAGGCTTGTTCACAGTACTACTGGTGGAGACGTCGCTTTCTTGTTTGTAACCTCTTCATAAGAGAAAGCAGATGCTCCAATGCCTCGTGTGACTTTGACTTATAAATAACCCACATTCCCTTCTAATGTATTCTTTTTTAAATTGATTTTTAAGTGTGTCTTTGTCTTACTTGTCTACTTTTCAATTGTTGTGAAGACCTGCCGAGGCAACTTATAGGAGAAGGAGTTTATGGAGCTTACAGTTTAAGAAGTGAGTCCATGACAATCCTGGTGGTGGCAGCAGGCAAGCAGGCATGATGCTGGAGAGGTAGCTGAAAGTTCTACAACTGGAGCAGCAAGCAGCAGGGAAACTAAGATACTAGGTCTGGTTTGAGCTTTTGAAACCTCAAAGCCCACCCACAATGACACAATTCCTCCAACAAGGCCACACCTACTCCAACAAGCCCACACCTCCTAATAGTGCCCCTTCCTGATGACTGAGCATTCAAATATGTAAGCCTATGGGAGTCATTCTTATTCAAACTACCACACTCAAAACACATGCTTGCTTCTGCATAAACACATGCATATGCGCTCATAGGCATACTTGAAAATCCAGAAGAACCTTTGAATGTATTTGTAGCCTATATTTTCATGATTTAATTGCTTAAACTAAAGTTCTATAATTCATGGGCACACAGGGCCCATCGGATGGCTCAGTGGGTAAAGGCTCTTCAAATCAAGCATTATGACCTGAGGTTATCCCAAGAACACACATGGAGAAAGGAGAGAACAGACTCCCACAGCTATCCTCTGATCTCCACATGTGTTCTGTGCCATGTGAATGCCCCTCCCATACACTGTAAATGATTTTAAAAATTGAACGTGAGCTAATAAATTATATTTGCCTTTTTTCTCTTTACATTTTACTTTTTAAAATTCTGAGCCTCAGTTAAATATGTATTTTGAAGGATTTGCTTTTTTTCGATATATATGAGTCGTGTTTTGCCTGCATGAATGAAAGTATATCACATGCTTATAGTGCCTTTGGAAATCAGAAGAGGGAATTGTATTTCCTAGAATTAGAGTTACAGACGGTTGTAAGTGCCATATGAATGCTGGGAGCTTAACCCTTGTCCTCTGCAAAAGCAGCCAGTGTTCTTTTTTGTTGTTGTTTGTTTCCCCAAGGCAAGTTTTCTCTATATTACAGTCCTTAGTGGTCCTGGAACTGTCTCTGTAGACCAGGTTGGCCCCTGCCTCTCCCTCCCGAGTGCTGGGATTAAAGGCGTGCACCACCATGAAGCAACTGCTGAGTTCTCTCTCTAGCCTTTAAATATGAACTTATTAGCAAACTAGTGTTCTTTGTTTTGTTTTGTTTTGTTTTTTTGTTTTGTTTTTCGAGGGACGGGGTTTCTCTGTGGCTTTGGAGGCTGTCCTGGAACTAGCTCTTTAGACCAGGCTGGTCTCAAACTCACAAGAGATCTGCCGGCCTCTGCCTCCCGAGTGCTGGGATTAAAAGCATGCACCACCAAAGCCCGGCTAAACTAGTATCTTTTATTCTCCTCTATTTTTTTTAAGACTTCTAAAATCTTTATTTTTTTAAAATTATGTATATATGTGTATGTCTTTGTGACCATATGCCACATGTCTCGGTATTCTTGAAGCCCTGAGGTTATAGGGCTTGTGAGCTACCTGGCATGGACAGTGAGAAATGGACTTGGGACTTCTGGTTGAGCAGCAAGTGCCTTTACCCACTGAACTATCTTTCCAGCCCCTCGATGTCTTATAGAACTGTGTCTGTATGCTGAGTATGCTGGTCAAACTTCTGAAGATCTTTTATTTGTTTGGTTGAGACAGGCTCTTACTATGTAGTCCTTGCTGACCTTAAACTTACTGATATCGTCCAGGCTGGTCTCAAACTCACAGAGATCTGAATGCCTCTGCCTCCGAGGTGCTGGGATTAAAGGTGTGCACCACTACACTTGGCCTGATGACCTTTTAAAAGTGAATAATGAGGTTGTCATTAAGAAATTTAGGACTTTTTATTGCAGTCATTGATAAAATGGTTTCTGATTGACCAGATTCACTTTTCAATTAATTATAGTTGAACACTTAACTAGTGAAAGTGAAGATGATGTTTTCCTGAGAAAAGCTAAGAAACCCAAAAGAAATGTCCTGAAGTCCCCTGAGGTAAGTCATTCATTTATCACAGTGATACAATCAGGTGAAGGCCATGCTCTTTTAGACTCTGTGTCACATTTTAATTAAACTGTTTATCTGTTTTATATAGGATCAGAAAAACAGTGACATTGATTCGCCTGTTCATGCTGTAAAAAAGTCCAGGGTTCTTAGGGTAAGTAAATTCTTGGCAGTGTATAATGCCTAAGTTCTTTTTATAAGAAGGTTTGCTTTTTATTATTTCTAGGAGTGTGTGTGTGTGTGTGTGGGGGGGGTGTGTGCACGAGCACCAGCACCTGAGAAGCAAGAAAAGGGCATCAGATGCCCTGGAGCTAAGGTTACAGCACCTAGGGTGCTGGGAACCAAACTTGGCTCCTTTGGAAGAGCAGTATATACTCTTCAGCCATAATACCTAAATTCTTTCATGATAAGTAATATAAGAAAAATGTGCGCAGAAAAATGATAGTATATTTGATCTTACAGATATACTTAACAGGTAAAAAGATAATATAACTTACGTGATTAGACTTAATACTATTGCTAAAGAAAAGTATTTATTAGAAACTTCCCTAATGATAACATGTAGATAATACAGAAACAGACATAATAGAGAAGAAGGTAGTTCATTGAGGTGTAATTATTGAAGTTGAGATAAGAGTAAAGTAGCCTTTAGCCTAACCGCTGGGAGTTTTAGTAAGCTTCTTGGGAGAGGATGGAATATGTGTCACAGCTGACAAAAGGGGGTAGTGGGCCAAGAGAAGGTGCTGTCAACAGAGTGAACAACTACACAGTGGCCCACGGAGGAAAGTGCACCTCTGTGCTATGAGGTTTTGATCTGGAGAATTTGTCCTGCCTACTCCAACCCCAGTAACTTGTAATTGCTTCATGTTTAAAATAGTGTCTTTAACTTCCATTGTGTTTGACTGTAGCACATATCCACAGGTGATACTTCATAGATCTTATGTCTAATCTAGGATCATTTGGACATTGATAAACTTTCTATCCTCTTACTGGCTTCATCTTACTGTGTAAGAACAGTGACTACGTGGTCTCAGTTAACATTCCTTACTGCTATATTTCTTTTTCTTTTGTTTTTCTCTTTTTTGAGACAGGGTTTCTCTATAACCATATTGCTTTCTTGATTTTTGTATATTTGAATGGACTTGTGAAATCCTTGAAAATCTAAAGAAAACACTGCAGGTTTTCATCAGATAGATTGGATCTAATAATAAGTTGAGTGAACACATACACTAATACAACTGTTACCTGATTTGACATTTGTGGGTCTAATTAGTGAGAACAATTTTATTCTAAGAGAATGCTGAATCAGATACTTTATAATTAAAAATAAAAATAAAATCAATCACTCTTGAGAAATACAATGCTAAGTGAATACAGTTGTTTTTTTTCTTATGTAAGTGTTCTGTTAACTTTTTATAGTCAGAATTATCATCAAGTGACGAGAGTGAGAATTCTCACACAGCATCGGAAGACTTCAAGGATCACGACAGGAAAGCCAGAAAAGGCTTCAAAGTTCGAAAGAAACAGAATTATGTAAAGGTAATCTTTCCTTAGTCTCTTTAAATGTATATACTATTTATTACATGCACACATATACATCTGTATTAGTACACAGGTGTATACTTATACACATTAGAGATAGATAGATAGATAGATAGATAGATAAATAGATAGATAGATAGTTTTGTCTGTGTGTATCTATGCACCATGTATGTGCCTGGTACCCACACGGGCCAGAAAAACCTATTGGATCTTCTGGAATTGGAGTTACAGATGGCTGTGATCCAGCATGTGGGTGCTGGGTGAGTGAACTTGTGTTCTTTGAAAAGCAGACCATACTGTTAAGTGCTGAGCCATCTCTCCAGTGCCTCAAAACACAGTTTTTAATGAAGTATTTTCCCACACTTACCTGGCAGGGGAGATACCATGATCACGAAGGTGATTTCCCCAGGGTGAGCCTTATCCATTGCACTTGGGATGTGCTGACCCCTTCGATTTCCCCAAATGCAGGAAACTCGACTGCATAATTTGTGGTAGTGGGGACTGTGTTCGTGATCCTACCTAACAAAAGAGAAAAAAAGAAGTATTTTCCTACCTGTTTTGTATTTTTTTCTCTGAAATTAAAAATCTCAAAGTGTATTACTTTTTGTTTTTCTTTGTGTTCTGTCCTTATCTTGTTAGCAGTGTGTTATTGTGAATGATTAAATGAAGAAATTGGAATATATTGAGAACTTATTGTTCAAATTAAAGAAAATGTAGAGACAGTCCTGAGTTTTAGGAAATTTGCTTTTACGGAAATTTTTTTTTAAAAAAAAAAAAAAAAAAAAAAAAAGAATTTGTTGCATCATTTGCTTTGTGTGTGAGGCAGGGGTTGGTACATACATGCCGCTGCAGGAAAGTGGAGTCGGAGCACTAACTACAGGAGTCAGTTCTCTCCTTCCACCATGTGGGCCCCAGGGATGGGGTGCAGGTGTCAATCTTTTCAAGTTTATACCTGATTCTCACTGATCAATCCCATTTTTTCCCTTAAGTATTTTGAAAAGTTCTTTGTACCCTTCCCTCCAGTAGGTACCTCTGATATTCTTTATTTCCATGCCAGGGCTTAGTTTTTAGGTCTGTTGGAAACATCCACCTAGTCGACTAGCAAATTAAATGCCGTTTTACCTAAAATTATCAGGAGAAATTTTATACAGGTATAAAAATCTTACTTTGGATTTTTGCTCTTGAAAGTGTTGACAAGAAAGCCACTTCCTTAAGAGCAATATACATGGACATAGTAGCTGGCTCCAGCTCACAGTAAATTGTGTTGCCCAGTGTTGTTCCCTACATCAGGAATGTGTAAGGTACTAGCCATGCCATGATCTCAGCAGTACACATTGTGCACATGTAGTAAAATATCAAACTGTACCCCATAAATATATATAATTACATGTTAATTCAATTTTGAAATAAAACCTTTATAATTTCCAGAACAAAAACTGTAAGAGAAAATTATTTTTATTTTCTGGGTGTCTTCCTGTTTCTTCATAGAATATAGCTCGGATGTTTCTAGATGATGAAGCAGAGATTTCTGAAGAGGATGCAGGATGTGTCTCATCAGATGAAGATGATGGGCCAGAAAATGAACAGGATTCATCACTTCTTGACTTTGTAAATGACCAGACCCAGCTTTCACAGGCTCTGAATGGTAATGCTGTTATGATACTTTGTAACTAGTTCCAGTGTGTCTAATGTCATGTTTAAATATGGTCTCTTTATTAAAAGAAACTTGGCTATATAGGTATTAAATTCAGTATGTACCAAACCATTTTTGTTCATTTTCCTTTAAATCCTGTAATACTTGGTTTTAGGCTTTTTATTTACGTAGGCAGCTCAAGCATCAAATGTTCCTTTAACTAGTGTTTGGTGCCTTCCTTTTGCTGTTAATGTAAAAAAAACACCCAAGAATGAGATGCTAGAGAATACAAAAGACCTTACTCAATTTATCAGATAAGGGAGATCTGCTTTCAGAAAATAATGTGGTCAAGTAGTGTTAGAGCAAGCCCAGTTCATTCAGAGCTGATGATTCAGATTGTCTACCATCGAAGTGAGAGACGTTCTGATTGGCTCATCAATATTCAGGCCTTTCAGAGATCAGGTTTTGTCATTTTTCTGTGTTTCTGCAGACTTTGATGTAATTTAAAGCTGCAAAGTTTCTTAAAGGCCATGAGTTTAAAGAAAAAAAAAAACTTGTTTATGGACAAATTTCTCCATACTATAATCATGGATACAGTCTCCAGAATTAGGTGTGGTGCCCTCAGTGGTCAATAATGGATAGGGCTTTTGCAGATCTCAGTAACATTCAATGATAAGAGCAATTTCAAAGGCAGCAGTGCTCCCAGACTAGCATCTTTGGAGGGAAGCAGGAGGCACAAAGACAGCAGTTACATCACTGTCTATCTGGCAGTGTTAATACAGTCGCTCAATCTCTTTTAGAGCTGCCGAGGCAGTACAAAGGATAGTGGTGGCTCCTGTGAGAGTAGTACTGATGGGAGAACGATTAGATTTTGGAGAGCTAGGGGTGACAGGGTTCTCAGTGCAGTTGCAGAGTGGATGGGTGGAGTTCTGCTACACAGCCAACAAGATGGAGTGCTTTGAACAAAGACATCGAGTCTCCACTTAGACACAGCACCTTTGAAAGAAAAGATTTTGGGCTGGAGAGATGGCTCAGAGGTTAAGAGCACTGGCTGCTCATCCAGAGGTCCTGAGTTCAATTACCAGCAACTACATGGTGGCTCACAACCATCTGTAATGAGATCTGATACCCTTTTCTGGCATGTAGGCATGCACACAGACAGAGCACTGATACCTAAAAAAATTAGAGAAATAAGTAAAAACTTTAAAGAAAAAGAAAAAAGAAAGATTTCAAAGCTGTTATATTTTTTTATTTTATTTATTTATTTAGTTATTTGGTTTTTCAAGACAGGGTTTCTCTGTTTAGCTTTGGAGCCTATCCTGGCACTTGCCCTGGCGACCAGGCTGGCCTCGAACTCACAGAGATCCACCTGCCTCTGCCTCCCAGTGCTGGAATTAAAGGCGGCAAAGCTGTTTTGAAAGTACAAAGAAGCCAGGTGGTGGTGGCGCACTCCTTTAATCCCAGCACCCAAAGTGCCATAAGTAACCAGGGGCTCTCTTGCCTCAATTTCTGCAGTGCTGTGATGTATTTGGGTTTTGGATGAGATCTTACTATGTTGCCGAAGCTGATCTATACATACAGACATACCTGTGTCTGTTTGTGTATGCATGTGTATGTGTGTATCTTCTCCATAAACCTTTTCTTAATGTTGAGCCATATAGACTTGGAGTGGTCAAAGTTAAATGAAAATTTTCATGTAAGTGATCTTGCTGACTTATTTTCAATTTTTCTCCTTACCCAGATTCCGAAATGAGAGCTATTTACATGAAATCTGTACGTAGTCCACTGATGAGCACTAAGTACAAAATGGTCCGTGAGAAACATAGCAACATGAACATTTTCTCACAGGTACTTACTACAGAATAGTAGAGGGTTTCCTAGTGCGATTTGAAATGTAGTTGTATCAACAAAGCTTCCGTTCTGTCTTTAAACTTAGGAAGTCAGATCTGGCTAGAATAATTGTACTGTGAAATTTTTCCCAGATGTGAGAATTAGCTTAAGGGAAATGAATAGAATTTGATCATCTATTAATTAATTTTCATATGTCATACCTCTTTTAAGAGGTTTCATTTTTCATAGAAATGTTTCTAAAATTTACAGATGGATCTTTCATTTCTTTGTTGGTGCTTTGCAATAGGATTTCACTATGTAGCCAAACGTGCTATGTAACTAAGGTGCCATATATAACTAGAGATTCTCCTGCCTCCCCCTCCTCCTCTGGGGTGCTGGGATGCTGTTGAGTTTTGGAGGAGATCGTGCTGTGTTGCCCATGCTGATCTTTGTTTACTTACTGATTGCAGCATTGGTGATGATAAACCCAGTGACTCCCACATGCTAGGCCAGTGCTGTATCTAGGCCAGTGGTTCTCAGCCTTCCTAATGCTGCAACCCTTTAATTCCTCATATTGTGGTGACCCCCAACCATTAAATATATTCATTGACACTTCAGAACTGGAATTTTGATACCATTATGAATTGTAATATAAGTATTTTTTGGAGGTAGAGGTTTGCCAGAGGGATCTCGTCCACTGCTCTAAGCTCTTACCCACACATATCCATTGGATTTGAACTCAAAAGATCCTTCTGCTTCAGTCTTCCATGTGGCTAGGATTTTAAGTACACACCGTGATGCATGGCTGGGATAGCTTTCCTTTAAGGTAATATTTAGAGTAATAATTCTCTCTATCCATAAATTGCCATGTTCACCGTAATAATAAATCTCTATACTTAATGCTGTGCTTATTTGGTAACATGACACAAGTTTTTCTTATTTACTTTTCTGGCTGCCTACAGTTGACTGTAAATTTCTAGAGGGTAAAATGTTATCTTTCTTTTTCTTTTATAGTTTTTCGAGAAAGGGTTTCTCTGTGTAGCCTTAGCTGTCCTGGATCTTGCTCTTCAGACCAGGCTAGCCTGGAACTCACAGAGCTCTGCCTGCCTCTGCCTTCTGAGTACTAGGATTAAAGGTGTGTGCCACCACCACTGCCTGGCTCTTTTTTTTTTTTTTTCTTTTTTTAAATCTCTCAGTCCTCATTTCCCCCCATAATGAAGGTACTAAGTACATGTTCATGAAATGGGATAAACATTAGTGCCTCAAAGAATGTAAATTCAAACTAGTTAGAAGATAAATATTTTTGTCTATTTATATTATAGATTCCTGAGCAAGATGAAGACTATTTGGAGGACAGTTTCTGTGTTGATGAAGAGGAGTCTTGCAAAAGCCAATCATGTGAAGAAGAAATTTGTGTTGATTTTAACTTAACTAAAGATTCCTTTACAGATGAGAATGTAAGATATAAAACCCGATATGCAGAAAAGCTAAAGCAAATGAGCATGAAACAAAGAAAGAAAAAAAAGAAACTCTCTAGAATTATCTTACCAGATGATGATTCTGATGAGGAGGAAAATACTGTGGATGACAGAGAGAACTCTGGTACCCACAGAAGCACTGCTGACAAGCACACACAGCAGGGCCACCAGTGCAGTTTAGGCCCCCCCGGGTCTTCAGCGAAGTCCTTAGTCCTTTCTAATCCAGCAGCGAATCAGAAACCCACACAGAGACCACAGGCGATACAGAGTGTAATGGATGCCCTTCCTGAGGTCGTGAGTCTCAAGGCTCAGGACCACAGTACAATCACTTCCACTTCATCTCCGTGTACAAAGGCATGTGGGCAATATCCAGTAGAGTTGAAGGTATGTATGAAAATGAAGAAAAGTGCCATCATATTTATTTAAAAGAGTTGTTGTGTGTGTGTGTGGGGGGGGGCGGTGTTTTCTTTTTTGTATTTTATACTAAATAACTAAATCAAAGGGGAAAAAATAGTGCTTTGTTTTGTTCTGGTTTTGTTTTGTTTTGAAATGGGGTCTTCTGTAGCCCAGATCAGTCTCAAACATGAACCTGGGGTTGGCTGGCTGCCAGCCTCACTCTAGGTTCACTGGAAGATGCTGTCATATAAAGGATTGTGACAAAGAGTGATAGGGCAGGACACTTGAAGTCTTTCTGCCTGCTGCAAGTTTACAGGCAGGCTTATAACCACAAGTGTGCATATGCCACGCATGCGTATACTGCATGTTGAATTAGTCACAAATAATTGCTGCTGTGTGTTGAGTTGTTTAACATAGGGTCTTGCTGTGTAGCGCAGACTTGGCTCAAACTCTTTAGCCCGTGTTGACCTTGAACTTCCTACCGCAGCCTCCCTGGTGCTAGGATGGGCAGGTGGATTCCACCACACCTGGCTCTGCTTTGCCATGTTTTGTGAAGGATTTTGCATTTAATTCATAGCAGATATTGGTTGTAGCTGTCTTAGAGTGTCTGGCTTCATAGATGCTGATCTTGTAGAGCAAATTAAGAGAATCCTCAAGTTTTGAGAAAAGTTTGCAAAGTATCAGCATTACTTCTTGTGTAAATGAAGCCACATGCTCCTGGGCTTGTTAGGGTTAGTTATTGCATCTCTCCTTTCTTTCTTTCTTTCTTTCTTTCTTTCTTTCTTTCTTTCTTTCTTTCTTTCTTTCTTTCTTTCTTTTTTTCAAGACTGGTTTCTCTGTATAACAGCCCGGCCAGTCTTGGAAGAACTCACTTTGTAGACCAGGCTGGCTCTGAACTCACAGAGCTCCACTTGCCTCTTGCGCTGGAATTAAGTGTGCACCACCACCATGCAGCTACATCTCTCCTTTTTATCTAGTAATGTTTCCTGTTTTTTCTTCAGTTGGTTCCACTAATTTAGGTGTTTCTAGAAACTCATCCACACCATTTAGGTTGTTCAATTTGTTGGCCTATTGATGCTCATTGTATTTATTTATTTTGGATTTTCGAGACAGGGTTTCTCTGTGGCTTTTGGAGGCTGTCCTGGAACTTGCTCTTATAGACCAGGCTGGTCTCGAACTCACAGAGATCCGCCTGCCTCTGCCTCCTGAGTGCTGGGATTTAGGATGTGTCCCACCACCACATGGCCCATTGTATTTTTTTTATAATCCTTTTTAGTTCCTTAAAGTTTGGGATTTTTATTAGCATATATTAATTGTACATAACCACCAATAATGACATTTTCATACATGTATATAACATATTTTGATTATATTTACTCCCATTACCCTCTTGTCCCCCTTTTACTCCTGATCCCTTTTCATTTTCCTCACCTCCACTTTTATATCTCTTTTGATTTGGTGACCCAGTGAATTTCCTTAGGGTCACATTTCCTTAGGGCATGAGTGAGAGATTATTTACAAGGGAATGGGCATCTTACCTACGTGGCTATACTGCAGAAAATGGCTGTCTCCCACAGCAAACGGTGACTGCCTATCGAGCCTCAGGTTGGGGCGGGTCCTTGTGGGCCCCCTCTACATTGTTCCCTGTTATATTGCTAATTGTAGTCATTTCAGACTTTTGACATCTATTGTTGGTTTGCTTGGTAGTGACTTTTTTTGTGGGAAAGGTGGTTTTAATTCTATTTATAGGAATAAGTGATTATTTATGGGGCGTGTCTCCTATAATCCCACCACTCAAAACCTAAGCCAGGAATGTATGTTTGTGGCCAGCCTGGGCAACACAGGAGTGGTCATCTTGTTTGCTGTGTAGTAGGCAAACTAGGCCAGACCTCAGAGCAGCTGTTTCTCCAAGTTGCTCTGGTTCTCTTTGTTGGGGGAAATAGACTTTGGTCTCTTTGATTCTGGATTAGTTTCTAGGCCTTTTCAGTGGTCAGAGCTATGAAGCTTTTAGAATCACACGACAACTTTGGAATAATGGTCTCGGTTTTTAATATCAGAGCAGTTATTGAGTGTTGGGAGATGGCTTGGCAGGTAACAGTTCTTGCTGCATAAATTTAACATGAGTTTGGTCCCATGGGGCCAACATAAAAAGCTAGATGTTGTAGCTGGCATCCCTAATCCCAGCACTCATGTGGCAAGATGGCAGAGACAAGAGAATCACCCCAGAGCTCGTGGGGTCAGCTAGCCTGAAGTGCGCCGTATGGCAGAACCAGCAAGAGAGACCCTGTGTCACCATGGTGGCAGGAGAACTTGTTCTTTAAGCCACATCCATGTGTGGCACGCTTTGTCTACACTTACAAACACACTTAGTCTACATACCCACAGTATAAACCAGTACAGTTAATGGAATAAGTTCAGGAAGTTTTGAGTATGTCGATTCTTTGATTATTTTCATTTAAAGAATTCATAATTATTTACAAATTACTTTTATTCTATTTGCTCTGTCAGCTGGGTCTTTAAGTTTTATTTTTTTTCCCACTTCTTAGAGATTCTCTGGGCACAAATTAAAATACACAAAATAAATTCAGTTTGCAACTGTGTTTATACGTTTTACTCTCATACAAAGGAAATCATTTAAAATATATGTACATTTGTTTTTCTATTTTATGAGCTACATAGGAAGATCCATTTATATTTTTAATCTCCTTTACTTAGATAATAGCATCCAGTGCACACTTGGCAGCACTTGGCTTTTCATTTCAGTACCATCCGAGAGTTTATACTACAGCAGATATCTATTGTTTTACCCCTATAATCCTTACTGTGTGATTGTATCATACTTTCAACCATTTAATATCTGTGTGTATTTGGCTTGTTTCGAATCTTCCACTCTATTTGTGTGTGGTGTCCTAATGTCAAACCCAGTGTTCTGCTATTGAGCTGCATCCCAGCCTTTGATGTTTTGAGACAGGATCTCTTTGGTTTGGGTTCTTCCATTGTGTTTTCTTGCTTGCTTGTTTGTTTGAGGTAGGGACTTATCATCCTATAGCCCAGGCTGTCCTCAAACTTTGATTCTCCTGCCTCAGGCTATTGAGTGCTAGGGTTATTGGGGCCTCCAACCATGTCCAGACAACCTTCTTGTCCCTTTATTTCTTATAAATAGTTCTCTAACAATGCCCATGTGTTCCCACTTGTCCTTTTGAGATGGATTTCTTCTGTGGCCTTGCTATAGAAGGCAAATGTACACGAAATGGTGACAGTTCTCTTAACTTCTCCATGGGGTCTTTGCCTTCTTTTTCTACCAGCAATTTAGAATTCCTGATTGTTTAGAGCCTCACCAACAGAATATAATCTATCTTGTGAGAAATGGCATTAGCATGTACAGTTTTAAGGTGGCATTTTTCTTGTCATAGCAACATTTGCATTTCTTTTTGGAGAACACTTAAAAAGTTTTTTATTGGAGGATTTTGCCAACTGTGTAGGTATTGTTTGTACTTTGGCTTCAATCTCACTGTGCTAGAAAGCTTCATTGGTTGATCAGATTTTAAAAAAGATTCCCTGTCACCACCAATGTCAAGATTAACTGGTTCTTGCTTTCTGCTTTCATGTAATCGATTTCTTTAGACAATGAATAGTTTTATTTTTTTAAGCAGAGGTTTTGTACAACATAGTATGCATGTTCTTTGTACACCTCATCTCTACATAAAGAGCTCATTCTGAGCTGGTTTGGCAGCAAGAATTTGGGTTTGTTTTTTCTCCATTAATTTTCGGGCCTCTCATTTTTGTTTTTGACCTCTGTGCATGTAAGCTGGTCATGTGTCATGTTTCCTACAGTGCTAAGTGTGAGTTCTGATCTTGAGCTACATCTTCAGCTCCAGTTGTTTTAAACTGTTCCTGCAAAGCTGGAGAGAGCTAAGCAGTTAAGAACACTTGTTCTCTTGAAGGAAATCCAGGTCAGTTCCCAGCACCCATGTTCAGTGATTTCTTTTCTGTCATTCCTATAACCACCTGTAAATCCAATTTGAGGGGTTCACACACTCTTTTCTGGCCTCTTTGGGCACCTGCACACATGTGGTGCACATACATACACACAGGCATGCATGTGCACATGCGTGCGTGCGCACACACACACACAAACACACACACACAGGGTTTTCTTTTAAGTATTAGCAGGGTTGGGCAAGAAGGCTCCGAGGGTAAGAGCGCTTGCCATGCAGCCTTGTTATTTGAGTTTGATCCTTGGTTCCTGTGGAGAGATATCTGTAAGGAATTGACTCCAAATTGTCCTGTGTTCTCCATATGTGCACCAGGGCATGCACCCATGCACACATCATGTAATAATACAGTTTTTGAAACTAAACTTAAAAAGACTAGTGGGGTTTAGACAAAGTTCAATGGACAGTGCTTGCCTAGCAAGTGTGAGGTTCTAGGTTCAGTCCTTACTACTGCCTTCTCACTTGACAGAGAGAGAGAGAGAGAGAGAGAGAGAGAGAGAGAGCGCATGTCATTTAAGGGTTAGGGGTGTAGCTTAATGGTAGAACACTTGTCTAGCATGCAAAAGACCCTGGGTTCACGACTATAGAACAAAGAAACCCAAACATACAGTTAAGGTTTGTTTTCAGCTAGATGTACTTTCTGGTTATCTAATCCCCAGTCCTTTATTCCTGAGATGCATTTCAGTCTGCTTTCGTGTTATTAAGACATTCTTTTCTCTAGCTTAAAAATTATATTTTCCCTGTAAAAACTTCTTTTCTTCCTGCTTGGTTTAGACTTCATTGGATTTCATTGTCTTCCTATTCCTTTTGTTGGTTGTCAATGGTAGCTTACTCGGGGCCGTTAGAGTGGTGGCTCCTTCTATCTCCAGTCACATTTGTCATGGTGGACTTTAAGTAAGGGATGTTTTCAGCAGGGAGAATCAGTGTCACGTGTGACATTCATAGCACTGATGCATATTCAAGACAATGTTTTCTCCTTTCAGGTTGGTGATCAGGAGAAAGGCAGCATCTCGGCAGCATCCTCTTCTAATACAGTCCCTAGACTTCCACAAGAAGGACACAGAGCTTGCATTCTTGTAGACAGTCGGGAAATCACTTCTGGTTTAGAAGTCATTTCTTCGCTAAGAACAGTTCATGGCTTACAAGTAGAGGTTTGTCCTCTTCATGGCTGTGACTACATCATAAGTAACCGCATGGTGGTAGAAAGGAAGTCTCAGTCTGAAATGTTAAATAATGGCAGTAAGAACAAGTTCATCGAGCAGATCCAGCGCCTGCAGAGCATGTTCCAAAGAATATGTGTGATTGTGGAAAAAGACAGAGAAAAAGCAGGTTTGTCTTTTCAAATGTTTACAAGACTAAACAAAACTGACTGTTATTTAATTATTCTTCTGCTGCCAGGGTATACCATTTCTTACTTGATACCAGTATGCTTTTCATTGGTCATTGTATTTTAATGAGGCTTATGAAATTGAACAATGAGAAACCAAAGGCAAAGCAGACTGGTCATAAGACTTTTCCAGGAACAGCAGAAAGCATGAGTACCTTTAGTAACCACACCTTTGATTAAATCCCTTGTTATCTTGCTTTGAGGATTAAGAGTAACCACACCTTAGACCAAATCTCTTGCTATCTAGGTAAGACATCCATACCTTAGACCAAGCATCCTTCAGTAGCTACTACTTAGACCTTTAGGTCTTAGGACTCTAACCTTGAAAGAGCAAGGGTAGGTTTGAACACTGTGACCTTAAGTCAAGATAAGAAGCAGAGCCATTTCTATGAACCCCGACAGAGATCTGCCTGTCTCTGCCTCCCAAGCGCTGGGATTAGAAGCACACGCCACCACTGCCCAGCAAGATGCTAGAATTCTAATAAAGTAGATCAGTTATTCTCCCTGATTTTAGTTACTAAACTTCATTTTCCCTGAATATGAAACTTTTAGGAGACACCTCAAGAATGTTTAGAAGAACGAAGTGCTATGACAGTCTGCTAACCTCCTTAGTTGGGGCTGGAATCCGAATCCTTTTCAGCTCTGGACAAGAAGAAACTGCATATCTCCTAAAGGAGCTGTCATTGGTGGAACAAAGAAAGAATGTTGGCATTCACTCAGCAGTGCTGAATCCTAGTAAATGTGAGGCACTTCAGTTCTATTTAAGTATTCCCAGCACAAGTTATATAACTGCCTTAAACATGTGTCACTGGTTTCCATCTGTGAAAAAGATGGCTAACAGGTATGTCTATTTTACTAGTATTTGTAAATGGTTACTATTTTTTTTTTTAAAAAAATCTTTGAAGCCGGGTAGTGGCTTTAATCCCAGCACTCGGGAGGCAGAGGCAGGTGGATCTCTGTGAGTTCGAGACCAGCCTGGTCTACAAGATCTAGTTCCAGGACAGCCTCCAAAGCCACAGAGAAACCCTGTCTCGAAAAACC